ACAGATATTTGTTCTAACTGATAGCGCTAATATACCAGTTCTATTATAAACAGGAAAAGGAACTTGGAAATAGGAACAGTGAGATTTTTTTTTTTTTTTTTTTCCTGATCACCTTTTTTTCTTCTAGTTTTCTTGTGATCCGGAGTTGATCATGATTCAACTGTCGGATCAACTTTTCGGTTCTTGGTATGGCCTAAATTTGACAAAATAGAATTGATAGAGTTTCTTGGAAATTTAAATGCCTTCATCAAGAAAATTGATTTCGTCTAGCTCATCAAGTTGTTCTGACCCTTGATTTTCTCCTTCATAACCATTCTTACTAGACAGAATGTCTTCTCTTTCACTTTCAAGTGTAAGAGGTATTGGTCTCCAATTAACTTCCATTTCCTCTGGCTGGTGTTGGCTTGCCATGACCTGATTTTCACACATAAACAAAAATTGTGAATGAAACTAATAATTGACAGTTTACCAATTTATGATGTACCTAATTTTGCCAAACATAGATATTTTGTGCCCAGTTATCAAAGATTAATTACCATTGAAGAGATTAACTTTTTTCTTTTCAAACTCTTAGGCAACAAGTGTTAAGAGTGTAAAACTACCTCCTAGGAGCTTGAAACTTTTGAGTTGCTAAAAGTTGTACGGTAAAAGGAGATGATCAAATTGTGAGCTCAAGCTTTGCTCAACTTCGCTCTCCTATTTGGGGTCACTTATAGAAAAGTTCTTAATTAACATGTCTAGTTAATAACAACAAGATAAAAAAAAAAAATGATTGAAACAAAATAATGAAACACTAATTTACAAATGGCTAATTATGCATCTCTAAGCAAGGTTGGAACTCTAACCTGATGTACAGAACCTGGTACTCGAGCTATTATATTCCAATGGACTATAATAAGCTGATCCTAAATTCCAATATATGGCCAAAATATTATAAATCAAGTGATATTTATTCAATTTTACTCTTAAATTAAGATACTTTTATTTCTTTGTTAATAAATGATAGCAGGTTCTTTTATATGGTACCTTTAATTTCACATTTTCTATTCTATTTATCGTTAATTGCAGCGTACTTGGTTTCTTTGCTTTTGAGCTTTTCCACTGTAGTATTTGTGCTAAATATTGACTTAATTACAAAAATTTTCCCTAATTTTCACTGTAGTATTTGTGCTAAATATTGGATTAATTACAAAAATTCTCCTTGAATTATACCTCATATAACATTTTGTCTCATGATCTTTAAATTAAATGTAACACCTATTCTCCCTTAACAATAAAATGTTAACAAAAAGCCTCGTCGTTAAATTTTTAACTGAAATTGACATTTAATTTACTATTTTGAGGGCGTTTTGATAATTTTATGGTTTAAAATTTAATTTGCATCTAAACTAATTTAAATATTAAAAAAAACTTAAAATTTTTTTATTCTACCAAAAAAATTCATAAATTTTTTTACTTACATTCATTCAATAATAGATGTATCATAATTAAAAGTTCAAATATAAATTAGTTTTAATTTCAAACTAAATTTTAAACCATAGAACTACCAAAATACCTCAAAATAACAAATTCATTGTCAATTTCTCATTAAAAACCTAATGGAGGGGGCTTTCTTGTTAATATTTTATTATTTAGGAAGAACGGATATCACGTTTCAAAAATTGTGAGGTAAAGTGTTATAAGGAGTATAATTGATAGAGAGTTTTTATAATTAATCCAAATATATTTGATCGCTCAAATTCAATACAACATATATTGCAATAGTTACACACACAAGAATGAAAATCAAAAAGGTTAATTTCAAAAATGATCACTGAATTTTATCATATACAGCCCAATTTGTTAGAAAGTAAAATGGAATTTTGATTCATCTTCTACAAGCTTTAAGCTTTTAAATTGTTCAAATGTGCAAATCTGCAAGCTTTTCAGGTTTTTTTGTTTTTTTTTTTTACTCTACCAGTTTTTATGTCCTTTTTGATTGATTATGAGTTGGTTGATTATTCTCCAGCTGTTAGAGCAACTCTAACCACGCTAGCTATTTCAACTTTTATCCATTCTAACGGCCATTAGCTAAATGGTTAGCTATTTTGGTTAAAGTATTTTCCACTAGCTAAATATAGATAGCAAGAAGTGGCTAGCTATTTATTGTTTTTTATTATTTTATTCTTTATTTTGACATAAAGTAAAAGTTAAAAAAAGTAATTTATATTTTAAACTCAAAAAAACATTAAAATAATCCATGTCTAGCTAAAATAGAGATTATGATTAGAGTGACTTACTAAAAAATTGCTAGATAAAATAATTTTCTAGCCATTTTAGCTAGAATTTAGCTAAAATTTAGAGAGCTCTCTTGGAGATGCTCTTAGTTGACTTTCTATTTTTATTTCTGATAAATTAGTTCTTTGATTAGTAGTAGATCCTAGTCTTTAGGGATTAGTTCTGATTTGTAGTAATCAAAGGTCCGCCCTAGTATCTTATTTTTGTCCATGAGCTTCTAAAAACTGCCATCAAATAATAGAACTTAATAAGCAGTTCAAGAGTTGCTTTTACACAGTAGCTTATGCTGCTATTATCTAAATTTACTAAGATAACCTTAATAATAAAACTTAATTCTTAATCCACCTATTTTACTTTTTTCATGCCAAATTAAAAGATACATATTTTAAAAATAATTATTTGAAAATTAAAAATATTTAACAAGTATATTATGCTAAATTTTATTCAAATATTTTTATGAATCATCAAAATGTTTAAAAATAACAGTAATAAATAAGAAATTTAGTAGAGAATAATTTTTTCCCTTAAGTAAAAGCAATTTATCTTTAAGAAATATCTTAATTAATAAAATTAAAAAATTATTTTTTGAGTGGTTCTATTAACACCCATTTTTTTACTCTCTACACCCTCCTTCTAACTACACACCCCACATAATTTTTAAATATTAAATTTACCTTATACACCCCTACTATTTCAGAATTGACCTTAACTATTTTGATAAGATTATTAATTTTTAGATCACTTCATTTTTCTCTTTACACCAACCATTTTATTTTAATTTGTTATTTAAAAAATTGGCATAATAAAAAAAACAAAAAAAAAACAATTAAAAAATGAAAGCAAAACAACTTAAAAATATCTAATAAAAAGTTAAGCAGAATAGCAACATAATTATATCATATTAATATATATGATCAGATAAGAAAAATTGATGAGAAAAAAAAGGAAAACTTGTTAAAAAAGCATATGACCACAAGGGGAAAAAAAGAATGAAATGGAAAATATGCAATCAACAAATCTTTATAAAAAATAAAAAAAATTATATGATCAATCTTAAGAAAATGAAATGATTAGAAAAAAAAAACACAAAATGAAAAAAGGTAAATGCCAATTTTCATAGAACAAATAGAAAAAAAAATAGTATACTGCTGTGAAATTTTTAGAATAGTAATTGAGTCTTTTTTTTTTTTTTTTTGCTGGAAAAGGATTCAAAAATTAGGGTTTCATTACAGATTGCAAAATAGCGCTAGTTTATAATTTGGGGATACAATATGTGGGGTGTGTGAAGAAAGAAAAAATCATTTATTTCCTTTTTATTATAAAATTAGTTATGTAATTAAGAGTATCATTATTGTCTTTTTTGTCATTTTATGTGAGGGTGTTTTATAATAAAAAGTTTTGATTAAAAGGGGCGTGTGGAGAGAAAAAGAAACGTGTGAATGGAACCACTCTTATATTGTTTATATTCTCAATATTAATCATAAAAACAAAAATAAAACTAACTATAAATATGTGTACTAAAATATGTCTACTTTTATCATTATATATCTCCACAACAATTTTATAGACAGTTTATAAAACACCTAAATTTCTACTTTTGATATTCACAGCAGTTTTGTAAAAATATTATATGTTTCTAGTCACAACTTATTACTAATAACACAACATAAACAAAAATTTTCAACATCACATGTCAAACTGGCCCTTAGTCAGTGTGTGCAGAATAATAAAGAGTTTTATTGCCTATTTCTTCTATACCTGCTTTCAACAAGAAACATGCGAGCATAAAAATGTTGGCTTCAAATTATGAAGTGTTACACCTAACCAAGTTATCTTGTGTGCATGTTTTGTTTATCATTTTTGAGCTGGCATATTTTCTTTATAGTTAGTTTACTTATTTACATGCGTAGATGTACTTAAGGGATAAAAAGAAGAAAACTAGTCTCATATTTGTTGTGAGTGAGATCTTTTATCATCGAAATCAGTATAAGATATCTTTATACTTTTTCATACTTTTCACTCAAATTTATAGTTAGCGGACATTTGAAAACACTTATAGTTATTTGTTTTATGCTTATATATATTCGATGAAAGGCATATGTATGGCTTGGAGGGACATTTTTCACACCATAGATCGAAACCTTTTCACACTCAAATCATGTCGAGATATTACAGAAGAAAACACTGCAATATTCGATCTAATTTATTGCATTTAATTACTTGACATATTGGTTAATCATATTCTATGTGTATAATTTTTTTTTTTATCATTATACAAGATGTTAGGAATTAGAGAGAAAATTAGATATAACATTTCTGTGAGTTATCTAGAAAGCGGGGCACTAGAGTAAGATATCGAGAAAGCAAGAAAGATGCAAAGATAAATTTTGTTATTTCAATTTTTTTTTTCTCACCAATTTAAAAAAGATAGTGAAATATACTAATTTATACTTGTTTATTTCGGTTACAAATATACAAAAATATAATATTATATGTATTTTTCTGAGCTTTAAAGTTGCTTAATTCTTTTCTCCAGATTTTAATATTATGGCAATTATATATTATATGCATTCTACACTCTCTTAATATCCAAATCCACCATCCAATTAAGATCAAATATATATATATATATATATATATATATATATTGAATAAGGAGAAGTTAAACGTTAGCTGCCATGTATATGTATATGTAGTAAATTAACAATAATAGATGTGTGCCTTTCTTAATGTCTTCATAGAAACGATCAACCTTTTATCATGTGAAAACCATTTGTAATATATGTAATTGTTACTATTGACAACTAAGTTTACCGTTATAATTAACCATCGGATATAGGAAGCAATACAACTGAAATTAACTTATCATATAATACTAGAAAAAATTAACTGCTTAGAACTTCAACAATTCAGGATGGATTTCAAAGTCATCCCACCACTGATCTGGCTGTAATTCTATATCACTGCTTGATCCACTGACAAATCTCTTTAGCCTCTCACTTATTTTTGTGGCCCCGAAAATGGAATCCGCAATCTACATACAACAAAAGATAGGCAAATTATATATATATATATATATATATATATATATATATATATATATATCTTTATACAACATTTTCCAGAGAAAAAACAAACATAAATTGAACATAAAATATAGACATATATACCTCTGCATGTACGACATGGAAAATTGAGTCTCTGGAGACTGAATATTTGGCGTCTACAACATCAGCTCGTTCTTCATGGAGTATGCGAATCAGCTCGTAGAAAATAAACTGATTATCTAGCCCTGTTATCAGAACTACCTCGATAACCGAGCCAATCTCATGGATTTCAATCTGGGGTGATCTTTGGCTCCCCACGCTTTCCAAGCTGTTCGCGCATGTATATGATCTCTTTCTACCCAATAAGCTCTTCTTCTTTTCCTTGTATTTCTTCAGCCTTGCCTCTAAGCTTTTTATGTGGTTTATGGCTTCGTCTACTTGATCTGGTAGTGTTTGCACCTCCTGCATTTACATATGTATTCATCACCATAAATTAATGTTAATTTATGTATGAAAACTAATAACGAAAGTTTAATTGTTGGAGTTAAATGAAATTATATAAATATTTGTCATATGTTTTTTTATTAAGAAACTCTAGTAACTTAATTTGAACTTTACTTTGGCCAAAGGTGAGCTTAATTAATCTCCAAGTATAATAATAAAGAAACCACAAAATTTAAATTACTTGTTTGATCATCATCGTCAAGATTAATATTAATTAATGATGTCATGTATATATAGCTAGGAATTTTCTGCTAATCATGTTATCGTGTGTTAATAAGCAAATCCACAATGAGAAACACAATCACACACAGTTAGAGAGAGAGAGAGAGAGAGAGAGAGAGAGAGAGAGAGAGAGATGAGAGAGATGAGAGAGATGAGAGAGAAAGTGAACTGACCTTAGAGTTTTGTGGTGGGAGTAGAGAGTTAAGCTTGGAGTAGAGAACTTTCATTTGATTTCTTCTGTTCTTCTCAATGATTCTTCTTTCGATCTTGGTCGCAGAAGATTGACTTCCCTGATCCATGGCTTGTACTTGTTTGTTAGCTCCTAAGTCTTCCACCACAAATAATCCCATGAAATATTTTTCCCTCTTTTTTCTTTATTTGTTGTTGTTGTGTTTTTTTTTTTTTTTTTTCAAAACTAATTCTGTGAAGATGATGAGGTCTGTTGAAAGCTAATATATACCATACAAAAAAGGCATACATTAAAGGACGAATAAAAGCCAAAGTGACCGAGTGACACCCCATTTGAGGACGTCATTTCACACACGTCAGCATTACCGAGTAACCATAAATTAACCAGCCGTCAGATTGGAAAATTCACTTGTAACATTTTGTGCACGTGGGGTTTTTTTTTTATGTCGAATTTTCCTGGGAAAGAGCTTTCCTTCATCTTTTTTTTTTTTTTTTTTTTTTTTTTTTTTTTTTTTTTTTTTGAAGAAGAACTACACGTATATAGTGCACAAACTATTTTCCGCCTACAGGGTTTATATTAATTATACTTTCTTGGTTTTTTATTTTATTTTAATTATGTTAATCTCTTTGCAAATTATATGTCGATCTAATTCTAATTTTGAAAATTTTTATGGCAGTGCGCGTCTAAGAACGACAATTGCATGGGGATCTAACTGCCGAACATTAAAGCGAGTTTGAACCGGTTTGAGTTGGTTTACACTGAATCGCAAATTCATTTTCAAAACATCCTTTTAATAAATATGACCGGTGAAAAAAATAGAGATTAATATACGAGGGTTTTTAATTATCATTCTAATTGCAAAGAAACACGCAATCAATTAAAAAAAGACTAATATTACGAACATTCTCGTTCAGAAATCTAATGATTCAAACTAGAAAAGTAAATAGCTAGTGGAAGTTTACTTCTCTCATTTAATTGATAACCTTTTGGTATAATGGCATTCCAAATAAATAAAAAATATATATATTCAACTTTGTGCCACTTTGCTTACGTTTAACTGTTTCGGTTATAGAATATTCCATGCAAATAAAATAATCCTCGGTCCGTTTAGCTCACGCAGTTTACTTGAATTCTAAAGTTATTCTCACGCAATATACATAAAAATATTGCTTTATTTGTTATAACTAAAGCAATGTTGCCCCTGAGATCATAGAGTCGGGAATATTGACCTATTTCTTCCTAACCAAACTTTTTGAGCTAATTAATGGACCTAACACTTTGATTTCTTAACTTTACCGAATTCTAGCCAGCTCGATGTAAGAAATCAAAAGTCCTGGAACTAGCTTTCTTTCTTTTTTTTTTTTCCCCTTAAGCATAGTATAATATTTATTTTATGTAACACTTATGAATTATATATATGGCGGGCTCTTCACACATATGTAGCAAAATTTAAATAGTAGACGTTAAGTAAAGAAATTTTTTTTAAATATTACAACAATAGTAAAATTTAATATCATTAAAATAATGAATTATATTAATGTATATTACAAAATATGACATTATCATGATCATTATTATATTATTTTTGCTAGTTTTGTAATATTCTAAAAAGTTATTAATTTCAAGTCAAGGTATAAAATTTCGTGTAATTATCTCTATATTTGGCATGTGTAATAACAATATTACTTTTTACACCTTTCAAATATTAATATTACGTTGAACACAATATATATATATATATATGTGTGTATATTTATTATGTGTGTGTGACGTAGGGCTGATTCGAATGAATAAGAAAGTTTAATTCCATATTTATATGCACGTACTTATCTTCATACGAATATAATGACACGTACGTATGGGATTTTTCTTATCTCCTTCGTTCTACGTAAATGCGCCCTCAATTTATTGCGGAAAGTTTGATGGTGTGGCATAAAGCATACGACGACTTGAATTAGGGCTATATCGATCTCTTAACCCGTTTTTAATTTTTATGATGGAATTACCAACAATTATGGCTAAAAAAGGTAAAGCACGTGATGAAACAAAGACAAAAGACAGAGTAAATCATTTTGAAAGTACTCTACATTACAAAAATTTTTCAATAATCATCATTCTCTAAACAATCAAATACTCTTCATTTTCATCAAAAGAAAAAAAAATCAAATACTCTTCATCATGCGGTCACTTAATTTGTTCCGTACATGAGTCAATTTGTTCCGTACATGAGTCACCAAAAGAAATAGTCCGTTGAAGCTTGAGATACTAGCCGTATATATATATATATTTTTATTTATTTATTTTTTTTGGTAATAAGCTGTAGATATACTAAAGAGCACTCTCGAGTATGATATCAATTCTCTCAAATTTGTGTTAACCCAATGTCCTATAAACACTCTCTATACACTAATACGTACAGGTGTTTATGATCGCTTTTGAGAAGAAACTACCAATCAAACAAGAAACATTACTGCATATACTTTCAAAAAAAAGAAAAAAAAAAGAAATATTACTACATATATTTGATCGATTTGAAGTTTTAAACAAAAAAACAAATCACATAACATGAATTTGGTCAGTTTGGTCGGTTTGAACTTATAAATAGAATATTTTTTGTCATGTAGAAAATTTGGATCAATTAATTGTTTAAACTTACCTATTAAACTTTTTTTTTTGTCTTTTACTAACTAGTTGAACATTTTATTTAAAGCATAAAAGTGTATACAAAAATAGAGAACAAATGATAAGTCTAAGAAAATATCAAAAAAGAAATATCAAAAGAGTTTTGGTCAGTTACGTGGGTTTTGCGGTTTAAACTTTCTAAGACCTGCTAACCAAATCAATAAAAAGAAACAGAGACGTTTAAACTCATCAAATTAAAACAAATTGTTAAAAATAAAAATCGATTAGTAAGGTTTAGTTTAGTGTGCTTTGATTTGATTTAATATTTTTAGTGAGTTGCTTGCTTTTAAAAGGGAAATCTATAGTTAGAGAGTATATATAAAACTTTATATCATTTCTTAAACATCATATATAAGATTTTGTTCTCACTTTCTCCGTTTATATATTTACTTAAGAAAAGACAATTATGAAAGCACACAAAACTAAAGAGGTTAAGAGGTCACATTTCTTAATTTTCTCTATCTTCGCTAAATTCCCTGCACTATTTTTTAGCTTAAAACATTGGGCCTATTTGACAAAGCTTTCTACAAGCTGCTTTTAACTTTCTGAGTTCAAAAATTGCTTTTAGAAGTTTTTTTATGGTCGATCAGAAGAGCTTCTAATCACAGTCACTTTTCCTTCTAAACAAACTCTTCTGAATCGACTTTGACACTTGTATTGAAGTTTCAATAAGACATTATAAGGGCCCGTTTAGTTCATTGATTCGAGTTTTTAATTCGAGTTGAGATGTGACTTTATGTGAGAGCTTTTTACTGTAGCAAAAAAGTTAAATATAATTGTTTCTGAGAGCTTTTTACTGTAACAAAACTCGAATTCTAAACTCGAATCGGTGAAATAAATGGGGCTTAAATTCATTATAATCATGGACGGAGCTACATGGGGGCTTATGGGGGTTCGTGCCTCCACTTACTTTTTTATCTATTTAATTTTTACCTATAATTTTACATAATCTTACAAATGTACCCCCATCAAAATATATTTTCTATAAAAAGTGAACCTGCTTATTTTTTTTCTTGATCTATCCCACTATTTTAAGTTATTTAACTAGTTTTCTTACTTAATCTCCTAATAGCCACTATTCTTTTGGTCGAATAATCTTAGACGATATTTAATCTCTTTTTATTATTCACTTTTTTTCTTCTACCCTTTTATAAAAAGCTTTGTTTGATTTTGAATTAATATAATTTTAACATAATAAGTTTGTGTTGATTAATCATGTGTGAATTTTACTTCGTAATCTTAATGATTAGTTTTGATTTGCAGATTAATTTATTTCTTAAAGAAAATTGCTAGTAACTATAAGAAAAAAATAAAAATGGTGAGAAATAAAAAAAAAATTCTTTTGAGTACTCCTACTGAAATAAAATCCTAACTCCATCCCCAATTATAATACTTTTATTGTTTATTAGAAAATTTTGTTATCATTTTGATCTATTTAAACTCTTTTTTTAATAAAATTTAAACTCTTTTAACAATATAGTTTCAAACAATATGAAAATAGTGGACGAGAAATATGATGTTAGTCAATAATATTGGACGTGGCTTTACCCTAGTGAGAGGTCCCCATGAAACTCAATTATCAAAACAACACTTGATAATAGCCTGCCATGCAATAATATTGCGTCAATTGGACACGCGGTGACGCGGATTACAAAGTCTTCAACTGTATTTTTTTTCTTTTTTTTTTTTTTTTGAAGATTCTTCGACATGGTTTGGGCTTTGTAACTATCCCATTTTCATTTTCTTCAATGGGAACAAGTTATGTAATAGACTGTTTAAATTTCGGCGGGTGCACTTTTATTTGTGACGATTTGACTTGGACTTGAAGTCTTTCCACTATTGAAGCTCCACTCCACCACTTTTCGAACGAATCCAGTCCAATAGGTCAACAATCTTTTTTTTTTTTTTTTTTTTTTTTTTTTTTTTTTTTTTTTTTTTTAAAATTGCTAAAGAGTTCAACTATAATGGTTGTTAGCGTATATACATCATTATTAGTATATCTCGCTAAAGGGTCCCACAATAACACACGTCTAGTTTCTTTGTCTGTTTCCTAGAAATGGGGTTCTCTTTCTTTTTGCATTACAAGCCTTTTGTTTCACAATTCACACCCAAAGGCCAAAATATAGCCCTTCAAATTTATTTTGTCAACTAGATGATAAGTACTAATTTGCAGATGCTAAATTGATCATATCTAGTGTGTTTTATGTACTAAACACTATCGCCGTAATGATTATACGGCATGATCTGTTTTTTTTTTTTTCATAACAAGGTGTGTGGTATATGACTCATTTTATTCAAAAATAAAATAAAATGGATAAAGTTTAAATCTTAATGGAACCACATAAGTAAAATATAAAATTGATAGAGTTTAAATCTTGATGGACCCACACACACTCATGTAACCCAACCACTTGAACTGGCATTACATGATCGGTTAATAAAAGAAAAGGAGATATATCACCCTCAATTAAATGATAGATTAAGAGAAATAGGTCAAGATTTGATAGAGAAAACAAATTAATGGGCCAA